CTCGACAAAATTCAAAAATGGGGTTGAAATGATATTGGTTCTATCCTGGCATTTCGACTTCAGTTTTTTTCCCACCTTCGTGACGTGGCTTCTTTCTGTCTTTTTCTATAAATAGATGTTAGATACTACCACCGCAGGCGAGGGTGAACCTAGGAACAACAAAACCTCCCGATCAGAGGTCTTGCTGCCGGATGTAGTTTATCCTCATACTCAGGACGGATAGCAAACACATCACTTGAGGACTACCTACAGCAGCAACAAATGAATAGCACATGTAACTCGAAGAGAAAATAATGATATAATCAAGATGTTAACATTTCATACCACTTCAAACAGAATATTCGGAAGGAATTGCCATCGATACTGGAAAGAACGGTAAAAGACGTGAGAAACTTTTTTTCCCTAAAAAAAAAAAAGTGTTTTACGAGGAAGATTTTATAAATTTCAACCGAAAACAGTACTGGCTGCTTAGTCAATGAATTTCTTTGTAGAGAAACGGTTAATATTAACATTACCGCCGAGCAGATCCTGAACTTTACCTATCATAGTGTGTTCTCTGAAAGAGCCTCCTTGCCTTGAAGGCCTATGGAGGCTCAAGTGTTACAGTTTTTGGGATATGTATTTACTAGTGAGCCAGTCAAAATGAGCTGACTCATTTTATAGTTCACCAATAGAAGGGTTAACCAATCAGAAAGCTCAAAATATTCAATGCGACGTGTATAAAGGCAGCCATTTTTTTTCTCCCAAAATATCTCCACTGCCAACCTGATATCGAAGACTTAAAGAATTAACAACCGCTACTTTCTCCGAATCTACACAGCCAACCTCTGATATTGAAAAGATTACGGACTTCACTGGATTCCATATTCAGAGACTACAGCAAATATGGTCAACAACATCAAGTTCACCCCAGACCTTAAATGGAACTCATATATACGATCTATTGCTTAAGACGCTGGAAAAATGGTCAATTCATGGTACCGCTTCAGTAATTATCTGAGACCCGCTGCTATACTAAATCTTTACAAGAGCCAGATCAGACCAAAAATGGAGTATTACTGCCATATCTGGATCAGAGATGCCCAGCCCTCATTTGCCTGTCCTCAAGGACTCCCCCACTTTAAAGGCGTCAACGCGACCTTGTGTGTGATGAATTATTTTCCACCCTACAATCCTTTTCCAACAGACGATACGTTGTGAGACATTCGCTACTCTATCGCTATGTCCATGGCATATGTTCTGGCGAGCTACATTCCTTGGTCTCACCAGCACTGACCTTTGTAACTGAGACTCGCCATGCCACGTACACAATCCTCATTGCCTTTGTATTCCATTAGTAACAAGTAAGTCGCACTTGGACAGCTTCTTCCCAATAAATGTTGCTTTGTGGAACAGACTCCTGAGACTATGTTTTCTAAATCACAGCAATCTTGAGATCTTCAAATCTAATGTTAACCGTTATTTTTCCTGTATAACCACATAAACCTCACTTCTTGCCTTTTCTTACGCTCATACAACACTCTATTTTGAGTGGCTCTTTGGCCTTGTATTAGGTGAACATTAGTATTAAAAAAAAGAAAAACTCTTCTCCACACGAATTCTCTCCTCTCTCTCTCTCTCTCTCTCTATATATATATATATATATATATATCTTTCTCTTTTACGCTATTTCCCTCTCCAACATTCCTTCTTTCTCGCTTTCTCTCTCCTCTCCCTCTCTTCACCTTTCCTTTATCATTATTCACTCGTCTCCTCCCTTTCTTTCTCATTTCTTTTTCTCTCTTTTATTTCACTACTTTTCACACATCTAAAATTACTATTTGCATCCAAGCAATCACTATTCATCCTAGCAATCGAATTCCTGCTTTGAAAAAAGACGTTTCTTTCAGCAGGAGTTGACGAAATATTTCACTGATATGATGTCACTCGAAATGGATTGAACCACCCTTACCAGACATTCATATTCATTGAACCCCCAAAGAAAGAAAGAAAAAGTCTATGGCCTGTTGAACCAGTATGTAAACCACTGCACCATGGAGAATTTTGCTTTAACATTATTTCTTTTTAAATATTTTTCCATCAGCGTCAGTTTGAACTTAGGTAAAAATCTGAAATATTTAATATTTATATTCCGGAAATTATTTTATGCCAATTATAAAAATCTAAAATTATTTTATAACAAACTTTAAACAATCTTCGTTCGCAAAACTATGTGATTCTGTGCTCGGTTTCGGAGTTAGAATTAGTAAATATTTCATCTGTGAAAGGATTGTCTGTAAGTTATTATTCCATCATCATTGGAAGCCACCATTTTGTGTTCTTAAGCTTTCTAAATATCCGCTTAAAGTAAATAATTGAGGTTCTAATTCGACAACATACGAGGATGATCCAATAACTCGGTAGCCTGACACAGTTATTAACTGAATTTTTACTTGAAATTTTCATTGTATAACTTTTGATTTATCTGATTAATAGAAACTTGTTTGACAAAGAAACTAAATATTTATTGGTTATAATAAATACCTTTTCTTACCATTAGGCTACTGAGTTACTGATGCTCTTATTTACATTATAACGGGAAACATTCATGTATGTTCGCAAATCAGTGATTACCTGCGCGTCCGTAAGACCCAGCATGGCTGCCAACTGTCGTCTGTCAGGTTTGGTTACATATTTTTGAACCTCAAACCGTTTTTCTAGTCCTTTTCGCTGCAGATTTGAAAAGACAGCACGGGACCAGGATCTTTTCCTCTTTGGCTGACTCCCTACATGTTGATCGGTGTTTAATATGGAGTAAGGACCTGAAATGACACGTAGAAAAAAAAAAACAATTTTATTAATCACGTGATTCTTTTATCTCTCATTTTTTTGTGAATCGAAATTTATAATAACAAATTAGCATTCCACCCTCGATCCTAAATTCGGGTGTCATTCAAATTTAACTTTCGGATCTCCAAGGATCCTCACTTGGATAAAATTTTCGCATTGCGATTAAAGTGGCAGATCTAGGGATATACAATTTTGAAAATATGTTTCGGTACTTTTTTTTTGAACGCTAGCATTCAAGAAACAAACTTTTTTTTTTGTATTCCACATAAGTTTTTTTGTGTTGTAAATAAATTGATATATTTATGAACTCAGTTTTAACCTTGCTAAATCTTTGTGAGTTTTTCGAGTGATTTAAGGTTTATTTCCCAACGTTAAAACGAAAACAAAAAATATAATCTTACTATTTCTGTTTAAAAGTTCTCTTACAGAATCATGAATCTTTTACATTTACATTGGCTTTTCATATCCCAAGTTACTTATTCACTTCGATATAATACGTCTATATACTACATATATTCCGACGAGGCACCTCGACGTGTTGTAATGGTTATCAAGCTTGTCGCACGCGAACAATTATGACTTAGTCGTGAATTCGATACTCATTACGTACCCCCATGCTTTCGGCTACGCTTAGAAAATCACCATGTTTAGATGTGGATGATACAATACTAATTCCTTATTTATACAGATAGATAAATATATAGAGAGAGAGCGCGTCAGCGTGAGTGTGTGTATGGAAATAAATATCAACACTTCCCGATGGCTGTCAGCTTCACTTCTCAAGCGATCTTCAGACCCGAGATCGCTTAAGGAGTGAAACGGGCAGTTACTGTATGATGCTGACTCTATCTATATCTACAAACGCTCTATCCAGTATATTAAGTTAAAGAAAATTTACGGTAGATGGCACTGTGTTTCAATGTAGATTAGGTTACATTTGTCATTCGTGTACATTTCTGGCTAGTCTGTCTTCAACGTTTAACGTGTGTAGTAGTGAGTTAACTGAGAAGTATTTCGTTTAACAATGCAAGATATTAATATCGCGAGCAAGTCAGATATGATTTTACATACGGACGCACGAATGATAATGGATGCGTGGCTGCGCAGCTCTATCAGATTGCCTTTCTAGACCGAAGGTAGTAGAGTCAACCAACATTTGTTGCTGCTTATCGTCGCGTTGTTTATTTTGATGTCAGGAACACTCTCCCAAAGTTTAAAAAAAGTATTTTTGGATTGTATCTTGGATTGTGCATGTAACAGCGTCTACCGTAAACTTTAAACTTAATAAATCAAAAAGGGAGGATTTGCGAGCATATTTTTAGGTAAATTACGATTTGTTTTTTTTTTTATATTAAAATAAAAACGAACATGTAATCCTCCTTTAATAATCAAAAAAATGTATATTCACAACTCTAAAATTGTTATGGTCCGGTTCCTTGTACCACGGTGATAGTCCAAGGTAGAACCAATAAAGAAGAACTCGAAAGCGGATATGGAATAACACAGATATATTACAAACAGGAATATATACAGAGAAGTAGAAAGTGTTAGTACGAACAATCAGGTTTAGTAGGGAGAACAATGTAGTCTCGACCAGTATCACTATTCCAATGTCTTGTAGTAATTGTCTGAACGCGACTCTGTTTCGGACTGCCTCTGACTCGACTGACTGACTCGCTCGCTCTGACTGACGGACTTCTGACGGACCTCACTCCAGACTTCAGGCTGAACTCTCTGCTTCGTCTTGAGGCGCAGTATTTATTACGTATGGAATAGTCCTTTATGTTATTATGGGTAAGGTCCCATAACAAAAATATATATTTTTTTTTTACATATATATAAATCCCGTTTATTTTATATACCAAATATATTTTTTAAAATTAAAAAAACTATTCCTAGTATAATATATATCTACACCAACATTACGATAACCATATATATATATTTATTTACCTTAAATTACGTAACAGTCAGTTTATAAACAACATCTGAAGATTGCGTTGTGAATGAAACTCCAAATCTTGTTATCGGTGAGGGATAATATGTATATTTATATAACGTTTATTTTTCAAATGTATATATTAAAAAAGGACTCTGGCAATTTTTGGACACACCAAATATGTGCATTTATATAGAGAGAGAAGACAAATGCACATTTAATTGCATTAAAC